CAGAGGCTGGGGTGGCACCGAAAGCACATTGATGGCTGGGAACCAGGGAGAGACTTCGGGTGCAGCTGGGGAGGGGGCCGTGTGGACAAACCCACAGCCGCTCAGCCGGGGTCGGCCTGAGCATCACTGGTGCGTGTCTACCTTCACTGCCAGCCCATTGAGGTCGGCCACCACGGAACCCCCCGAGGCGTTGGTGTTCGGGATGGTCTCGGTGCTTGTCCCACGCAGGTGGACGTTCTCCATGGGCATCTTCAGCTCCCGGCTCACCACCTGGATTTGGGACAGAGTTTCTTTTTGGGCACTGTGGTCACCTGGGGAGCAGCGCACACGTCCGGCCTGGGGTGTGAGTGTGAAGCTGTCCTATGCACCACAGCTCAGGTAGCACGAAACCTGCTTCCCTGAGAACTCCACAGCCCGTCTGGACCCCAAGTTCTGCATGCACTTTTTTTCTTTGATTCTCGCCTGGGCCATCCTATTGGGAAGCCGAGGGGAGCCCAGGAGAGGCAGGAAGGAGCCCTTGGTTGGCGTCTAAATGGCGTGAAATAAACACCTGCCTCCAGCACCTTCCACCACCTCACTCTGGCCCAGTGCTCTGGCCCAGCCCATGGCCCCAAGGCCAGGAGACCTCATTTCCAGGCTCAGCTCCAGCTGCTCTGGGCAGCTCGACCCAGACAGGGGCAGTGGCTGCAGACAGCTGCCCGCACTGCACGGAGGTGAGGAGATGGCACCGTGGGCTGCTGGGTTCTTATTCCAGGGCCTCCGGAGATCTGCGGGCAGCACCCTGGCCAGGGCTTGCCCACCGCTCCCTAGGGTGTGGCATTGGGGCTGCTCCACAGACAGAAGAGAGTATCTCCAATGCCTCCACAAAAAGCAGTGACAGGGCTCTTCCACTTTCCTAGCAAACCACACAAACTTGCCGGGGATTTAGCTCAGTGGTTCTGCCGCCTGCCTGGCAAGCGTGAGGACCCGAGTTCGATCCCTGGTACCAAAAAAAAAACAAAAAAACCCACACAAACTTTTTCAACCATCTGTCACATTAGTGTTGTGCAGAGTGGTAAGAATGTGAGCACCTTCTGGAACTCGGTAAGACGTGTCAAGCAATTTAAAATACGCTTACCCTGTGACCCAGGACTTGCACTTCCGGTAAAGTGTTTCAAGAAAATAATCACAGGTAGGATCGTGGGTTAAAGGACAAAAACTTCACCAAAGTATTCAACAAATGGAGGATGGTTAAATAAAATACACTACAGGGAGCCACGAGAACTGTGACGGTAAGGAATTCTTAATGACCAGAGGAAGCAGTTTCTGTCAGGATCGGTGACAAAGCAAGGGTATGAAATTACATGGATCGCGTATTAGTGATTTTTTTGAAAAAGAAAAAAGACAAGATAGAAGCACCCCAAAATATAATTTCAGAGAGATGAAATTATGCAAGTTTTAAAAAAATATTCTGCCTTTTCTAAATATTTTGCTACCTATAATATTAATTTTCTACCATGATTATGAAACTAGATACAGTAGCTTAAAATTAATCTAAAGTAGGTCAGCCAAAAGCCAACTGGTCTATGGCTAGAAATATGAAGTAAGATTCACATTCTGGGTTGTTCAGAGCCCCGGGTATGAAAAGGGTGAGAAACAGCGCAGAGCAGCAGAGCTCACACCTCCTCGGTGCTTAGCAAAGACTCAAGCAGACACCTCGCTGTGACACAGGACTCTCCTCGGGGCTCGGTACCCTGCTCCCTACGTGGATTCCGCTGCTGTTCCTGTCCTTTCCTCTGGCTCAGGAAATGCGAGCTCACAGGGTTCCAGCTTTCCTCTAATGAACCTGTGCCCCGGGACGCACCCAACAGCCTTGGGGATCTGCAGGCTTACCTGGATCATTTTGGTGTGGACACCTTGCCCCATTTCAACCCCACCGTGAGTGACCAGCACGGAGCCGTCCAGATAGACGTGGACCAGGGCGGAGGCCTGCGTGGGAAGAGACGGTGGGCAGGGGCCAACGGGCAGCCCTTGAGCTGAGGCAGGGACAGCGGTTTCCATCCCTCAGCCCTGCCCGAGGCATGCAGAAACGGCTGCGGCAGGCCAGGCTGTGCGGCTTCCTGGCCAGCTGCACGGTGAGGGTCCGGGTGCCGGAGTTCTCAGAGCGCTGCCAGCCTCAGGATGCCCTGGTGTGAAGGGCCCACTTGGGGAACCTAACAGCAGCCCTGGCCCCAGGAAGGGGTGAAGCGAAGGACCGCGCCTCCACTCCTGCGCTGAGGGACCAGTGCATGGGCCAGGCCCCCGCCGTCCACACACGGTGCTCATCACAGTTCCGTGGCCTCATCACCATGGGACAGCTCTGCGCCCCGACCCGGATCCCGCCTATGGGCAGCTGCAGGCTATGTCCATGCTCGGCAGCGCAGCTTTCTTAGCACGAACACGAGAAGCTTCCTGGTTCCCTGAGGCTGCCTGAGACAAGCCTAAAGGCCGCAATGCAGCGAGGCTGAGTACTCTTCACCTGCCTGTCTGTGGGGGAGTGGACAGCAGGGACGGTGGCCACACATCTCCTGAGCCCCCCTGCGGGCTCCCAGGACCTGAGGGAGAGAGGGGCAGTGTACCCCCGTCCCTGCTGGCCTCGCTGCTCCCTGCAGCCTTTTCTGCCCCTGCTTTGCCTTTGCTCCGCCCCACCATCCCGCTTCTGTGTTGTGGCCCTTCGACTGAGCGCTCCACTGGTTTCTGCCACTGCCAACAGGCAGGGAGGAGAGGCTGCCACCAGATACCACGCGTCCTCCTGTCAGAGCCCACCGGCAGGCGGGGCGGTGCTGAGGGCCGAAGGGGCTTCCTCTGCCTGCTGCTGGGCCCTCCCCACACAGTGGATGGCGCTGCTCTCTCTGCTTGGGACAGGAGGCAGGCGCAGCGAGTGGACCTGGCAGCACTGCGGGGCTCAGTCCATCAGGAACAACCGAGTGAGCAGTACTGCCTCCCATCTCCCCCACTCAGGAAGCAGCTGCACACAGACAAGCTCCTGACACTGGGCTCGGAGCCACGTTCTGGCTCGCCACACGTGCCCGGCCGTGGGAGGTGGCACCCAGTGCCTGCACCAGCTTCTGGCTTCTGCTCTTGTCCAGGGCCAAGGGCAGCTGGAGGAGCCTGGGACCACTGAGTGCCCTGAGTCCATCTGAGACACCGGGCAGGGGCCGCCCCCTTTCCCACAGGAGTGCACCCCAGCACGTGGGGGGTGCGGCACAGGCCCCCAGACTCCTCCGCAGGGAGGCTGCTCCACCCAGCACAGCTTCAGGGAAGCTCGGAACCGCGCATGGCTACCACAGGGCAGGGAGCCCCAGGATGGACAGCGCCCCACAGTCTGTGGGGACCCACCTGGCCCAAGGCGACGTTGCCCACGCCCACCGGGAACTTCAGGGGCACCATGGCCAGCCCTTTCTTCTTCCAGGGACTGCCGGAGTTGAACTTGTCCACGGCTGCCCGCCGCAGGGCGAAGGAGGCCTTGGCCTTGCATTCCTGCCAGCAGCGGGCCAGGCCCTCGGTGTTGATTTCTTGTCCGTAGGGTGTCTGCTCGGTGCCCTGGTACATGTTTACCTCCCGGACCTGGGCAGAGCAGGGCGGGTAGGTGGGGGCCCTGGTAGACACAGTCTTCACGTCTGCGTGCAGGGCTCAGGCGCTCCTGCCTCCCAGAGTGCTGCTCCTAACACCCATGAAAGTGCAAGGAGGAGGCCTCTCCTCTCCCTACACAGCCCAACGTGGCATGGGTGTCTGCAGGCCACACCATCCAGGTTATTCAGGTATAAGACAAGAGCTGGGCATGGTGGCACAGGCCTGTGGGTCCAGTGCTCTGGGAGGCCGAGGCAGGAGGATCACAGGTTTGAGCCCAGCCTGGGCAATTTAGCAAAACCCTGTCTCAAAATAAGAAATGGGCTGGGATGTGGTTCAGGGTGACTCCCAAACTGCAGCAGGGTGTGACTGCCACAAGCTCTGTCAGAGGCTCTGCCACGGCAGCCAGCTCTCCTGACGCTGTCCTTCAGTGCCCTGAGTCTCAGCCCCACCTCCGTCAACACGTGGACGCCCCTCCCTGGCAGGACAGGGGCCCTGGCGCCTCTTCGCGCGAGGGCAGAGGCCGAGTTACCTCCTCCGGGGACAGGCCACACTCGGCCGCCACCTCCACGATGCAGGACTCTGTGATGAACCCCGCCTGGGGGAAGCCGAAGCCTCGCAGTGCCGTGTTGGACGGGAGGTTGGTTCTGCAGGCGCGGCCCCGGCAGCGCAGGCTGGGGAACTTGTACGCGTTCTCCGTTTTCAGAAGACCCATCTCTATCGCCTGTGGAAGCCAGGCAACGCAATGAGACCCTCGTCCTCTGCCGCGTCCCGCAGGCCTGCTGACCTGCACCACGCCTCATGTCAGCTGCTGGGAACGACCCCAGGGGGCTTCTGAAACCGTCAGTCTTTGCATTCACATTTTAGAGCAAGTGCACATTTCCCAGGTTTCAGATCTTTGCACACAGGGCCTACGCACCCGTCTGCAGGAGGCAGTGCCTGGCAAAAAGAAAGTGCATTTGGGGTTTGTCCTGGTGCAGAGGTCCCAGTGGGATCCCACCCTGCCTCAGGCCCTGGGCGCTGACTGGGGCGTTGGGAGGACTTGGACAGCTGCCAGTGGCTTCCGGGGCCTGGGCACTGGCCCAGGAGGTTAGCGAGCGTCTTGGGAGGTATGGGACAGCTCCGCACGAGGCGTCAGCCTGGCCAGGGCATCCTCAGGCCCGGAGCATGGCCAGCTGGAGCTTGCCTGGATGCAGACCCCATGCTGGGCCCTATCCATCTCCCCAGGCCGCCTGAAAGCGGCGCGGCTCTCATGGTGGGAACAACTCCAAGAGACACATGGGCTCCAAAGTCGGAGCGCCTGCACCATGCTCTGGCAGGCGACTTGCTGTAAGACACTTACGAACAAGGACTCGTCCAGGGAGTGGCCCCCATTACTGTAATGCTCCAGGTCCAGGGCCGTGATCCGGCCGTTGCTCATGAACCCCACCTGCGGGGAGAGTGGACCTGTGATGCCGGGCTCCCTGGCTGGAAGAGCCTCTCATTGTTGGCCTGGGCAGTGCTTCCTGGGGTCTGTGCCTTGCGCTGGGAACTCGGGCAGCCCTGTAACCTCTCTGGCTGTCTGCGAAAGGGAAACAAGGAGAAGCACGCACTGTACAGGCAGCCACGGGCGCGCTGGGGTCCCACAGACACCACCGATCCGTTGCAGTGGCACAGCCACCCCACCCACGTGCCTCTCCTTCAGAACGTGCCACAGTGACAGCTGTGTCCCTCCAGTAAGGGCCAGGGTTGGGGTCGTTTTTGCCTCACTCTCAGGCTGTCCCTCCTCCCCGTGCTTGTGCAGTTGAGCTGCACCGTGCTTCCCGAACTGTCCCCTTCCCCTCCCACTGGCCCTTTGGAATTTTCGCGTCCTGTGCATAGGTTTAATCCCTGCTGTTCTTCTCCAGTTTTCCACCAGACCCTGTGGCTCGTGGGCTCCTCTCCTGTCCACCCCCTCATCACCTCATCCACTGCTTCCTGGCCATGTTCTGGCTCCTGTGATCCTCCTGCCCCTGCTGGCCCCAGGCCACGCTGCCGAATGTCACCGCCTCACTGTCCCAGTGCACCCGGGCTGAGTCATGGTGTTGCACGGATCCAGGATTCACAGGTCTCACTCAAGCTTAATGGTCCAGGCCTGGCGCTTCAGCCCTGCGCCAGTGTCACCGACACATCCAGCCTGGCCCGTGCCACACACCGAGAGTGCTCTGCCTCCTGACTCCCTCCTCCTCTGCAGCCCAGCAACCCAGGCCCCTCCCTGCAGTTCCCGCTCCTTGCCCCCCGAGTGCTCCCTGTCTGCCCGTCTGCCTGGCAGCCTCTGCACATCCTCTCCCCTGCTCCCCTCCGGTGGGGTTACCGGGTGTGCTCCCTCTTTCACCTGCAGTCCTTCTGTGTTCAGAATGACTTCATGGTCTTACTCCTCCCCTCGCAGGACAGTAATCTCCCTGGACATAGTTCACTCCAGTAGATCCTTTGACTAATTCCCAAATGGAACTCAGCCTGGATACATCATTAGCGTCTAGACTGTATCCAAGCTCACCTGCTGTGGTGGAGGCCTGCTGAGCACCGCAGCCCTGTGGCCTTTCATCCTGGACTCACAGGAGCACCCTGGCGGCAGGGGGTGAAGTTCTGGACAGAGCCACCCAGGGCCCCCACGGACAGGCCTGGTGCCTGCAGCACCTCCGTGGGACGTCACATCTCTCGTCGCCTGGTGGCTGCCCACCGCTGGGGCCCTGTGGGGCCCTGCAAAGCCACACGATAGGACCTCCTGCCAGCCACCACCCGAGGGGCTGCCAAGCACTGAACTGCATGGTAGTTTAACGTAGTTGATGTAAATGCGAATGGAACAGCCACACGCACCTCACAGCTACCGCGCCAGACGGTGCAGTCCGGGGGATGGCGTGGTGGCACTGCCAGAAGAAAAGAGCTCAAATTCCGGAGTGGGGCCTGCCCCTCCTTACCCTCTGCCAATCACATCCGGGAGTGACTTGAACACAGAATAACATCCTAAGGTTTCAGATCCTGAGAGTGCTCTGTTGCTTGTTACAGCAGTTAGTCCACCGTGACAAGTAAAATCATCTCTTAAGAAGCAAAGGAATAATTATCTCCTATATGGAAACGTATTTTGGGACATGATTTTCAAAAATACCTTTGATGCACTGAAAAGTGAGGAGCCCATTTGCAAATAATTACAATTTCCTGCAACACTTTTGTTATGGGGATTAGTCTATTTTACTTCTTTTATATATGAAACTTAGCATGGTTATCAGACTGACTTTGGTGGACATATACATTCCCACCCAGGTTTTCCAACTTTCGACTGTAGGCCCCATGCTGGCTGTCACTTTCTCACAAACTGACACCTCTGAGCAAAACAGAAGAGGTCGCTGAGCGGCAGGGTTGTATGAGCAGCACAGGTGGAGGGAGGCAGGGCACAGACAGAGGGACGGAGGGACAGAGGGACATTCCCCACCGGGAGCCTGAACCCCGCCGACGGCCTGCCACTCACCTTGTACTTCCCGAGGTAAGGGTGGCGGCCGCCGGTTATCAGCATGTCTTCTCCTCGCTCCAGGACGCAGCGGACTGCACGGCCCTGCCTGAGCAGAGCGCAGAGGTGAGTTCTCTCTCTCACAAGGGCCTCCCCACCTGCCTCCATTCGCAGTCCCCAGGACGCCAGGCTCTGCCTGCCACACAGCCTTGCTGACCTCTTGCGGTGGCCTCCCCGCCCTCTGGGCCCAGGCCCAGCGCCCACGTCCATTACTTCTTGGAGGGCGGCTCTGGGCATTGCGGTGGGCATTGCCCTTTGCCGGAGGAAAGTGGCCCTGAGGCCACGCGTTAGACTGCTGACAAATGGCAGCACCAGGTGGGGTCTGGACCAAGGTCTGTTCCTTCTGGGACAAGGACCTGGCCATGCCAAGGGCACACAGTTTCCCATAGTACGGTTTTGAGACCCTCAAAAGCGTAAGCAACGTAAAGAAACACAGTCCCAGCAAGAGCAGGGCCCAGGCCAGGGCTTGAGGAGGCCACGCACACAGCGTGGCCAGCAGGCACCCGGCCAGGCCCTGCTTCCTGTCCCCACTCCAGCACTGTGCTGTTTTGCTGTGGCCTTTCCTCCTCTTGGGGGTGGATTCTTACTCTGGTTCTCACAGTGCTGGAAGCTGAGATTCATGAGACAGGATGGCTGCCGGCCTGTTTGTGTGCTACGCGGGTTTACACAAGTTCGGTCTGCTTCTTCCTTGTTAATCTGAATATTGAGTTTTCCTTGTGGCTTCATTTTATCTGTAGTGAACCAGCAGGTTTTCTCCCCTTACCTGTGGGCTGCGAATGCAGTGATGGCTGCCATGATGCTGGTTGTGACCACCTTGCCCCCGAAGGCGCCGCCAACGCGCCGCACGTGGCACATGACCTTGTTAGCCGGGAGCTTCAAGGTCGAGGCAACCATGTCCTGGGGACGACAGCCGTGCTCAGTAAGGGCTGGTCACTGCCTGCGACCTTAAAAAGAAACTGTTCCCGGGGTAGCAGGCCTGGCACGTGTGGCACACGAGCAGAGCAGAAGAAAGCCCGGTAACCTCACGGGCTCTGGCCCTGCGCCTCAGCGACACCTGGCTATGAGGACCCCAAGTCACGACTGAGGAGTCCTTGCTACACTAGCAACTTTCTAGGTTTTCCTCGTGAGCCACACCCAGAATGCCCGTCCCTGACCCAGGGCTGTGTTTCCTGCAGACTGAGGTCACCCTTCCCCCCGGGGTGCCAGTCCCTCCCACCCCTCCCCTCCGGTCTTCCCTGGATTTGTATCCTGTTCTGCCCCCCACTGTTTAGGGTTCCTTAGTCCTAACAACTGTTTTATAGCTGGGGAACAGAGGTAGACCGGGAGGGGCACCAGGACAGCCCTGGGCTGGAGGCCATCCGGTCCTGCCCAGGGCTGCCCGTCTCTGTGGGATCCAGTGGACACCTCCTGCTCTGCTCCCTTCCCCCAGGTGTCTGACTCCCATCTCCTCATTGGGCCCTTTTCTAGTGGCTGCTCTCCGGGCACACCCCTCCCCTCCCATCCTCCTGCTGCCCAGGGCTCAGGCTGCAGACAGCAAACGTCTTGGTCTCCCTGTGGGAGGGCCTGGACATGGTCTCTTCCCCTGCTCTCCTGGGACCCTGACTAGAAATCCAAAGTTGAGCCTACTCCTTGAGTGCGTGCTGGTGACTCAGGCCTGGGTGCCTGTACTTTCTTCTGATTCCTGCGCCTGTGTGCATGCTGCCTTGGCTGATGGGCCCTGGCTGCCCGCAATCTCTCCAATCCTGCTCCCTAACTCCCAAGTGGGTGCTGCATCCTTTGGGGGCAGGGTGGGCCTTCCTCTTTTTTCTTCTGTTTCCTTGACTGTGCCAACAACAGAGCAAAAGACATGCGCTGACTGTCTAATTGGTTCTGAAGTTATAGGTCCACAAACAGAAGGCGCCTCCTTTAATCAAACTCTTAAGATCTGGAAATTGCGTGGCTGTTGATACCCACCCACATCCGTACGACTATTAGTACTCAATTTTTCTGCAGGTCCCGAAGGAACGACCATTGTCTCTGGCCACTCTGGTACACATTTGGGGCAGAAGCCATCTGTCTGTGTCCTCACAATGACCCACGTTACCTGGATGTACTTGGGAAACTGTGTGGACACGTAGATGTCCATCTCCTGGTCCTCTCCCTTGGGAACAGCGAGCATGCTCTGAGTCTCCATGTAGAAATGCTCCTGGCCACCCACCCGGACCTCACCTGTCAGGGGAATGTGGGAAGTGAGGCAGCAGCCAGAGCAGCGGTGCCTACCCGCCAGACGTGAGGCCTCCAGCAGCAGCACCAGCAATGCGTGGCCTCTGTACATCCCCTGAGGGTGGGACACTGAGCGAGCCCTGCGGAAGGCACAGGACTTTCCGGGTAAGAACACTGCGGTGAGGCGACGTGCAGTTCCCAGACAAGACTGGAAGGGTGAGCTTCTCCCTGGGCCCCGCCAAGTGCAGCTGGCCACCCTGAGCCCTGTCTATAAGCAGATTCAAGCAGTGTGGTAGCTGACTTTGCAAAATGACTGTTCAAATCCAACTGAAATGGAGTCAGGAGGCCATGGCGTGAGACCCTGAGGTCACACATCCTGACCCCAAACCATTTCACAAGCCAACCCACAGCCACAGGGCCGAGGCGGAGCTCCGCCGACAAACGAGACTGTGACACACCAGGCCCCGCCCCGTAGGGTCAGCCACTTCCCACACCCTCTTCCCCAGGAAACCCCAACCTTTGCTTCATGCTCAGGACACAGCAGAGGCTGCCCCACGAGATTGTGAATCTCTGTCTTGCGTATTAGTCCCCCAAAACCCTCCGTCAGAAGACGGACAAGCGAAGAGCAGAAGGTGACACGTAGGGACAGCAAGGCCCCGGGGAGATGCAGCTGTGGGCTCATGGGTTTGCGGTTCTTGTTATCACGTGCCCTGTGCGTGCGTCCCAGCTCTGCAGAAGCCAGTGATCCAAAACACCATGGCAGAGGTGAAGAAAGCCCCATGGGAGCCGATGCTCAGTAGCCGAGGCTCAGCCAAAGGGCATCTGAGAGACCAGCTACCGCAAGACAGCACACACCTCACCCAACTGAGCCCCGCAGAAACTCAGCAGCCTGCTGGACCTGCTGGACCTGCAGGGGGCCTGCTGTCCCCCATCAGGCTGCGATGAACACCCCTGTTCCACACCAGGAACCTGCATCTCCACCCCACCTGGCAACAGCAAGCTTCAGCCTCTCCTCCCCAAGTGCATGGAATCAGGTGTAGTAGAGAAGATTCAAACCAGACCCAGAGCCCTGGGACAGAAATCCAAATGTCTTGGACACATGACGAAGTCACTCATCGCTCCAAGATCCAGGAAAATCTCAGCTTCCATGAGGAAAGACTGACAGCAGCTCAGACAGAGGTGACCAGAGGTTGGGGCTACTGACAAAGACCCAAAGGAGCCATCATACAAAGCCCTTAGAGCAGTGATGAAATACAGAGACAGCGAAGAAACAGAAGGCAAAAACCAAACCAAACAAAGCAACAACAACAGCAAACAAAACCCAGAGGGAAATTCTGCATCTGAGAAATACTGTACAAGAATTGCAAATTTAAACACTTCCTGTAGGGGCTCAACAACAGAACAGAACAGAGGAAGCGACCAGAGAACAAGGGCAAGAAAAACAGAAACCCGCCAACCTGATCAGCAGAAAAAACAAGACTGGAAAAATCTGAGTGGAGCCTTGGAAACCTGTGTGACCAAATAAAAGACCTGACATTTGTGTCACTGAGCAGGAGTAATGGCAGGTTGTTCTCAAACGGCACGAGATGTGCTTGCTTCGGCAGCACATATACTAAAAACTTGGCAAGAGACACGAACCTACGGACTCAAGATGCTGAGCGACCCCGACTGAATAAATCCAAAGAAATACACGCCAAGTCACTTCATATTTGAACCCCAGAAATCTAAAGACAAAAGGGAAAAAACCCGGACACTTTCTTGAAAGCAGTGAGAAAAATACCCGCCGGACTGGGGGAAAGCACTTCAAGAGACAGCGGTTTTCTCAGCAGAAACCAGGGGGCAGAGAAGTGGGCTGTGTTCACTGAGAACCTGCCCACTCAGAAGTCTAAATCCTGCTAGGACATTCAGTCTTCCAGAAACAGAAGAATAATTACAACATCAGCAAGAAAAAAAGCATGACAAAAAGACTAAAAATGCATTAGCTTTCCCTTCTCCCCTTGACTTGAAAAACGGTGTCTAAAACAAAACTATAGGGCTGCTTCACAGGGATCCAAAGTGTGCCCAGGAATATTAGATAATTATCAAGTAGATTAGGGCTGGGAGAGAAAAAAAGGGTAGAAGGGAGGTCAGGTTCTACACACAACTTGTACGGAGAACTCTGTAACAGGTGGCAATTAGATAGAGGAACATCCAGAGCTGCCAGGAAAGAAGTCTTCAGGCCGCACACTGGAACACACCACGCCCCTCCAGGGCAGAATCCTAGGAGCTACCTCAGAACTGCAGGTCACTGGGGGTGGAAAGAAAGCGAGTAATGCAGGTGGGAGGCAGAACTTCTTAACATTTAAAAATGGACCCAGTAATAGTGAGTGATAAACCGCCTGAGGAACATTCCCCAGGAGATACTTTATCTGGACTCCTATTTTCTCCAAGATCTGACTGAAGAAAGAGCAGAACGTGTAAGAGTAAACGTCTCATGCACTCCCCCAAAAGTGAGGAAGGAGTGCAGAAAATCACAGATTCTGCCTCACAAAGTTTCAAGCGCTCTTAGGGGTAAGGGGAAAAAATGAGAACCAAGACCTGTCACGTAAAGGCACAAGATCCCAGGGACGAATGTAACTCTACTGTACACCTAAAATGTACCAGTGAACTCCATGAGGAAAAAAAAAAAGTTTCAAGTGCTCAGATCTCAACTCGAGTGCAGCTTCTACCAGGCTGAGTGCGCAGCCTGCTGTCCCTGCAGCAAACCTACGCAGCACCCGGAGCCCTCGGAGCTTGCTTTGTGGCTTCACTGAAGGGCGGGTGGTGCCGCGGGATGGCGCCCAGTGTTGCGGCCCCTGGGATGCAGAACGCACAGAGTGGGACGCCCACTCCTCAGGGCAGCGGCCACGCTGTGAAGCCGGCTCCTACCGTCCAGGCCACTTCTCGCCACCCTCTCCCGAGAGCTTTACCTTCCAGAACTCGATCCACCGTCCTAAACGCCTCCTCCACATCTCCACACTCCAGCTTCCTCTCCGCCTCCAAGAAGGACTTGAGTTGGACAGCTTCCTGGAGAGAAGGGAAACTGAGGCCAGGCCTGCAGGACCCCACCCCGCAGGAGGAGGGCAGTGCTGCCCACAGCCGGGCAGCTGTACAGGAGCCGGCTGGTTTCTGTCCCTGCATGCCACGCCCAAGCTGCCCACCCTGGGTCATGTCCACCTCAAAGCCCCAGTCTGCGGCCACCTGGGGATTTTCCTACCTCTGGACACCTAGCAGGGATGCTCACGTGACCCTGCCATTTCCTCCACTGAAAAGGGAGGTAAGGACTTTACCATCAAAGGACCCAGGCTCCTCGACAGACAGTGTTTGTGGGCTGTGTGGCTCAGGTGACCTGGGCTCTCTGTTCCTCAGCAGAGGGAGGGCTGTTGTGAGCAGCAGGGAAGCCTGAGGGGGCCGATGGTGGTGGGCAGTGCCCAAGGTGTGGGGCTTGCTGTCTGCATCCTGAGAATCTCAGCAGTGCTGGTCGAGGGCCTGGCTAGGGCTCCCCCATGCCACGAGGTCTCCAAAGCACACAGCTTAAATTATCTGTGACACTGCATCCACGGAGGGGCACCGGCTAAACCTGCACCCTGCACCAGAGCGTAGCCGTCACCCACGCACGCAGGCGGGCTAGGACGCTGAGCAGGTGTCACAGGACACGGCTCAAGCGTGTGGGCTCCTGTCTCGCACACACACTCTGCTTTCCTCACCCTGTGCTGACTGGCACCGAGCTTCGTGCTGGGATCCACTCACACGCTTCCTGTTAAACAAAGACTCAAGTACTCCAAGTTGAAGAAAAGCTCATTTTGTAAGTCGCACCCCTACATCTTTTCAGCTTCACTTGAGCTGTGGAGTCAGCGCCCTAAAGTCCTGGTGAGGAAGGCATGCGGGGACCAGGAGCCAGCAGAGTGAGGGCAGACCCTCCTGGGTCCCTGTGAGGCTGCTGTCTGTGGGTTTGGATTTTTATGTGGTTGGGGGTAGGAAAGGGAAGGGTGGACATTTAAACCACTGGTATCCAGCACAGAATTTCAAACCAAGTCTGGATGAAGTATTCCTGAATAATTGTTGAATAGGAAGCAATTTCAACTCAGAAGCAGCTCTTGGAGGAGGAACACAGTGCGCGGGGTGATGATGGGGAAAAGCCTGGGGAGGACCCAGTGCCAGGTCTGACCTGGTCGGGAAACTCTCTGGCCCAGTCGTGCCTTAACGACAGCCAGATTTCTAGATTTTTGTCTACTTGGATTGATTTCACTTTTATTTTGGTAAAGGAAAAGGGATTTATTCAAAGCTCGCTCTGGAGGAGATGAAGGGTCCATTTGCAGCGTTTCGTCTTGCAGTGTGGGTTAGGTCTTCTGTTAGCGACAGAGGCGGGGAGGAACACAGACAGCGCAGGTCAGCACACTGCTTTACCACCGTCCCCTTTCCTGAGCACAGGGAACTGGAGTCCTGCCTCTTGGGACCAGCATCTGCATATTCTGTGCTTTTCTCTGGGCTGAGGAGAGGAGGGAGGTGGTTGCTGGTTATGTGCCCAGCAGGAGAAAGTCTGGAAAAGTTGCTAAAAGGAAAATCTAGATCTTAAATTCCCGTTTTGAGGTGCTGGCTACACCCCGACACAGTACCCAGGTTGCGTTTCTCCGTCCACACCACACGCTCCTGTGCTGTGGCGGCCCCACGTACAGCAGAACTGCTGGCAGAAGCCTGCTCATGGATCTTACCTCCCTTCAACCAGGATGAATGGAAACAGGTGCAGAAGCAGCCTTTGCGAGGCGTGGTGGCCTCACTAGATGTTCCCTCAGGTGGACAGACCCAGCTCACAGGTGAAGGGACTGAAATGTGCTTATGAGGGAGCCAACCCAGTTTCCTAAAGTTTTTCATGCAGCCAGCATGGGAAACCCAGTCCGAGGGGCCGTGAGGAAGATCAGCCTTCGGGATGACACAGAGGGAGCAATCTCCTTAATGAATGCACATTTTGCGTCCTAAATACTTCAGATAAAAGAAGAGCCTTTAAACTGTTCCTTGGATCTCCATCTCTCCATTTCTCTCTCTGTCTCCCTTAGCTCCATTGTTTCTAGGTGTAACGTGGCAAGACGCCATGGCTGGTCTCCCCTGGCGCTGGTGACCTCGGCCGGGTCGCCCGCTCTTTTCTACCTCCATGGGCGGAGCGAGGTCAGGCTGCGTTCCCAGAGCATGCAGCACGTGCACCGACCCGTCCAGTCTGCGAAGGTGGCTTCCCCTCTTATCACTCAGCACTTCGTAGGAACCAAAGGGATGTCGCAGAAGAGGTGACTCAACCTCCATGCACTGCCAACCTTGGCCTGAAATCTCAGGCAGCAGGTGCCACTCTGCAGTCTGACTTTCCCCGGCGCCAGGGCCTCGAGTCCCTCACAGAGGATCTAAAAGCAGAGCTGCGGAACCTGCCTCAGCCTCTGGCAGGTTTCCTCACGAGCAGAGCCCGGTGGAGAAGGTGGGGATCGGAGCACAGGATGCACCTGGTCCAGGCCCCCATGGCTGTGCCTGGGCTGACAGTGCCCACGTTTCTCCCCAGGTCCCACGAAGCCCCAGAGAATCTGCCACCCTCAGCCCACCAGTGACCTCGGCCGTCCATGTGACTCCAGAGGCCTGGCTGGGTGGGGACAGCGGGGCCCTGCCAGTGGGACATGACCCAGAAGCCGGTTCCCAGGGACAGGTGACGGGGTGCCCGGGAATCTCGGAAGTGGCCTGGGGCCAGCGGAGGCTGTTTTGGGAGCCACTGGGCTGGGCTTCCTAAGAGGGCCGCTGTCGGCCTCCCCTGCCTGAGGGGCCCGCTGGGTCTGCCTCCCTGACCTGGATGGTGAGGACCAGCGGCTCCAGGTCCTGGTAGACGATCCGCACTTTCTCAGCAGCCTGTTTTGCCCGAGTCTCAGAGTCTGCGATGACAGCGCAGACAAGGTGACCCACACACAGCACCTAGGACAGAGGCCGTGGTCACCCACATTGCGCCAGGCCCGTTGGTAGGGGTGGGACCCATGGATGATGAGTTCCCTCCCAGGACTGTGGCCAGCACCACTTCCTGCGCGGCCCAGAACGGACGGGAGGCAGGCGGGGAGGCCGGGAAATGCACACCCCCAAGTCGGCCGAGTCCTCCCTCCACCTTGCACCACTGCTCACACTCACACCTCCTCGCTTGGCCCCAGCCGACTTGTAGAATATTCTGTCTTTCCAAGGGGTACAATCTCTAACAGAAAACATGGAATCCAGATGGTGGAGGTTGGCTGTGAGCACTTGCTGAGCACCCACGGCGCACGCCCCAGGGTCTTCCCAGCACCGTGGCCAAACAGAAAGTGCTAAACACCATGTCCAGCACTGTGCCGGAGCGGCTACGCCCGATTCAGGCTGAGTCTGGGCTGCGGGTCCAAGCCCTGCAGGACTGCAGTCCTCTCTGTTCACAGCCTCGGCAATGAGATTTCTTGAAGCCACAATAGACTACAAACCAGCATCAAAAGGGAACTAGACCCAGAGCCCCGTGCCTGGCTTCGAAGGCTTATGCTGGGCCTGTGGCCAGTGCAGACCCGGCACCGGGCTGAGACACACGGCACTTAGCAAGCCCGACAGCGCTTCAGCCCATGGCTACTCGGCCACTGAACGTTCAGGCAATGCTGCGCTCAGGTCTCGGTCAGGGCCACCCCCAGCCCTGCCCTGGGGCGGCTTCAGTGGAGTTCAGACATCCGCTTTCTTTTTTGTCAAATAAATCTGCCAGACAGAGCTGGGGCAGGGCCTGCCTCAAGTACAAGCCTTCGGGAGGTCAGAGCTGGGCACCAGGATCTGGTGCCGAAGTTCAGTATCTGACACATTCCGACAGTGGCAACTGCTTCTCGGTGGCACTAGCAGTGGGGGGAGCAGGGCGTGGAAGATTGGAAGGTACCGGGTAAGGGTTGGGGGACTAAGGACGAGCTTCACACAGAACAGGGCAAATTAAAGATACTTGTCTCTTCTGGGCCCTGAGCTCTAGGCAAGCGGGACCACACACCCCTTGTTCCGCCATGGAAACCAGATATAACAGGTGCTCGCTTAAACACTCCCAGAGCCAGGCCTGGTAGTGCACACTTGTAAGCCCAGCACCCTGGAGGCTGAGGCGGGCAATCGCAGGTTCTGGCCAGACTGCAGTCTGGCAAGTTAGACCCTGTCTCTAAATAAAAAACAAAGCAAAAAGCCCACTGAGCACAAGTGAGTACCAATGAGAGAGTCAGGATGAGTTTGGGGATTCCCAGGGGAAACTTCGTGGGGAGGCCCTGTGAACTTGAGCTTGACCTTGGGACACACCGGGCCTGGAGCAGCAGAAGGGTCCCGGGGGAGGTGTCGTGAGTCAGAGCGACCATTCTTCCCGGTCCACTGCTCTTCCAGGCCTGGCAGCAGCCTGCTCCATTACTACTAGAACCTTCTACAGGACTTGTCAGTTTCCTTACTTCTGTGGAAAGTGACTCTATGAGCTTATTTGACAGCTATTAGAATAAGATGTTTTATAATAAGGAAGTATATCAGAGTCTTCTATGATGTGCAGAATCAGTGTTATCTCTGAGAACACAGAAAACACCGCTAACCAAAGCAGCCGCTTTTCTAACAGGAAGCAACATCACAGTACATGGACCCTTGACTTATGAACTCAACTGGTTCCCGAGGGCTGGTTGTAACTCAAGGTGGTCAGGGAAGGCTCAGGCTCCTCTACACGGCCTTCAGAGTCTCTCTCCTGTGCACAGGCAGAGCTTAGTGTCCTTAGAGAGACACTGGCCCAGGATTTCTCAGTGAACCCCACACAGGAAAGGATGCCTTTCAGAACTCTTTAAGGGCTAAATGTGTATCTGAGCCCATCTGGAAGCACAAGCAGCCGGCATTCGAGTCATAAGTCAAAATTTTGTTCAAAAATTAAACTAAAATTCTGGTCCTAACCCAAGTTGTTTGTATGTCAGGCCCATTGTAAGGCGAGGGTCCACTGTACCTTGTCTGTTGCCAGCAGTGTCTCTGTGGAGGAGTTTACGTCCCCAAGGTGCTTGGCGGTCACGATGTCCACCACGCCTGGCAGGCTGAGCGCCTCGGACAGATCCATGGAGCTGGAGGACACAGAACAGCCATTGTGTGGGGACCAAGGACAACGTGGTGAGGAGTGAGACATGAGAGAGAGGACACAGCAGCCTGGCCCTGGGACAGACCTGGGGACCATGAGGCTTCAGTGGGGAGCGGAGTGTAGCAGGCCCTGCGTCTCTGCCCGCTTCCCTGCAGTCCTCACCCGAGACAGTCGGCTCTCCCCGCCCTTCCGCTGCACTGGCGTGACTGGGTGAGGCAGAGCCAGCCGCCCACGCCTGCTGGGTAGGAGACTCACACAATGGCGGCGTGGGCTCTTGAGCTGGTCACGAAGGTCAGGAAAAGCTCCTGGTCGACTGCAGGCATGTCATCGCAGTAGATGGCTTCCCCAGTGGCGTGCTTGACCCCAGACAGGTGCATGATGGGGCGGCCGATGGGGTCCTGAGGAAGCTGCATGGGGTCCACCCTCTGTGTGAGGAGAAAGTGGCACACTTTTTAGTCCAGGAAGGCAGGACAGTCACTGTGAGCTTCTCCCAGAAGAGGATGGCTCTGTGAGCTACATCCATCCAGAGCACGTCTGAGGGACAGTCCCTACTCACTGTCACCAGGACAGCAGGCCATTAAAACAACCCAGCTGGTGAACCAGAAGGTGTAGCCGCCTGTGGGTTTTCCCGCTTGGTCCGAATGTGTAAGTAAATGGATTTAAACATTTCTTTCTGACGACACAACATCATGTTCTCTTGCTAATGTTCATGCATTTGTTTAAACAACATCACTGAGTTCTCTCTGCTTCCATGTTTGTGGTGCACATCACAGCACAGCGTGATAATGTGGCGACAGCGTCACAGGGAGTCCAGGGCGACCTCGAGCAGAACGGCGTTTGGTCCTCTGGAGCGAGGAAGTCTGAAGCAGGGAGAATCGCTTCATTCAGACGGTCCAGGGGTGCACAGTGCCGCTGCAGTTCTGTGAGAACCCGAACGGGGTCCGGCCAGCTGGGGCTCACAGTGAGACCACCCTGGAGCCGTCCCGTTGGTGGACAAAGGCACAGAAGCAGAGGGGCCGCATCTACACGGGACTGCACACGGGCGGCAAGATGCACACCTCCACCTGCGCTCAGGGCCTGCTCCATTTCCCTGTCCACCGTGTGCCTGTCTGAGCCCACAGACCTGGGTCCACTGTCGTGGGCCACAGCTCGCAAAATCCATCACCCCCAGGTGTGCGATGGCAAACGGGCACTGCCCACACAGAGGCAGTCGCTCCCCAGGAAGACAGCTGGCATGGGACAGTGCTCATCGTGATGGCCGAAACTGCTCAAACAGCACCGACGCAGGTGCAGGTGCAAAGAGAGCAGAAAAAGTAAGGACGAAGCTGTGTGGGATGCACTGCCCGATCTCCTCCCTCAGGACACGGGGAGGCTTCTCTGCAGGCCTGAGCGCCCGTGTGTGCTGCTCCGTTCTGAAATCCGTCCCGATGCCAAGGTCACGCCAGGGATCTCTAAGGCAGAGATTCTGGTTGCCATATCCAACCAAATGCCAGGTTTGTAACTTTCAAAATGTTCACTTCCTATACAATTTGGCATATCTGAATTTTTTAAAAACCTCAAGGGATACACAGCAACTTCAGCATTCGCTGCGATGTCCTGTGAGCTTTTGTGACTGACTCCAACCACAGATTCAATGAGCTGAAGCCTAAAAACTCTTCCTATTCTTGACTTAATAAAACTTGCAAGGTCTAATTTCTTGATACTGATGTCAAGGAGGAACGTGCCCGATATTCTCCAGTGTAGCAATGTTGCGGCTTCAGGTACTATTCCCTGCCGTCTTTGAAGAAGGCACCACGAGAGTTAGGAGTATAGCTGTCTAACACAACAGTTTTCCGACAACTCTTAGAACCCCCCTCTGATCTGACTAAAACGCGACCCACAGAAAAGTCACAGGACAGGAGGGCTGGGGAGTGAAGGAGCTCATACTGCACAGAATAAAGCAGCCGCTCTCGTAAACAGTGTCCTCGCATTCCCGCCTCCTCCGGGGGTCAGAATGAACCCAAAGCAGGCACGGGGCCTGGTGCAGACTGCTGGGATCACACAGACATAGGGAGCCAGGCAGGCCAGCCGGCTCATGTGGGTGGCACAAGGACACAGGACAAGACATAGGACTCTGAGGGCAACGTGACATTTTCCTTCAGTCACCATTGCTACATTTGCTTTTGGGCACAACTACAACTCCTCGTTGGCTTTGACATTGTTTTTCTAGACCTTGGGAAGGAATGGAGGGCCTTGTGCATGCTTGGCAAGCCCCCTACCACTGAGCCACCACAGCAGGCTTCTGAGATTTTAATTTTAATCAGCACTAAAAGACACTGTGAATTCACCCAAGGGCAGCGTTGGCCTACTGAGTTGGGAGCCCCTGAGAGGCCCAGTCTCTCTGAATAAGCAAAAGTCCCTCACCTGGTACCTGAATGCTCCCCAGCCATGTCCACATCTGGGGTGGAGGTCTTCCAATGCGCTCTCATACTTGCCCTCCAGGCTGGGATAGCGACCTGGGTCCTGGAAAGCAGAGCCACGGCAGATGCTTCAAATAGCCTCAGGGGGCTGGTGTGATGTTGGCAGGGAGGCAAGTGGGGCCCTCAGCCAGCACCTCCACCCTGAGCCCTGGAGGGCGGGTGACCCCCGGCCCCATGCACCCTGCAGGGAACACAGACCCCATGGCACGGAGTCACATGGACACCATGGGCTGCTGTGTCCACGGTGTATATGTCCATCCTGATCCCCTCAGAATTGTTTCCTGTGTGATCTGAGGACATGGACCAGCACAACAGGAAGACAGAAGCTAAGTCAGAAGACAGAGGGAGAGTACTGAAAGCACAAAGAGCTCAGAGACAGTGGCAGCACCGCAAACACCGCGGTTCCACGGTGGACTGGAGGGGTCAGAGGCAGTGTCCCTGCCACTGCCCACAGAAGGATGCGTGTGGTCCCCAGGAGAACCTCTGAGCTGAGGAGAGTGGACACTCGGGTCCTCACACCAGCTTTAATCAATGTCCCTGCTCAGGTTTTATAACTCAAATAATTTTAATAGGAAGCAAAGCCAACAAAGGTTGGTATTTTTAAAGGGAGGAAGCTGGATGGAAGGTACAAGACCTCAAGGCAGAAGTTTTAAATTAAGGCACTCGATTCACCAGGCAGATGGACTCATACGTGATTGAGGGGAGGAGTCCTCAACTGGTTTGTTTTCTTTTCACTGTTGGTGACTTAGTGACAGTGCCACTCATATATGATCTGAAGTGTGTGCTAAAAAGCTGAGTGAGCCCTCTGGGTCTTGGTTGCTCCCATCTATAATGAGAAGACGCCTTCAGAAATAATGACAGAAGAGGAGCATGTGTCTCCTAGGTGAAGTCACATACAGATTTCCACACCACAGAGAGGGGCAGTTAGCCATGTTTGGCCCGGGGTTAATGGGGACAATAAGGATCCTGTTCCCTGTGGCTCTGGCAGGTTTTTGGAAGGTTCTTTTAGAGCTGTGTTCTCCCTGGCCCACAGTCTTGGAAATCTGACTATCATAAGTGGGACCGGAAGGAGGGACCCCCACTGGGCAGCTCCTCTGACACACAAGGACCACAGTGAGTCCCTTCCCCCTGATGACCCTGTCACGGTCCTCCCATGTGAGGGAAATGAAGCTGAACAGAGAAGAAAGCTCAATCCAGGGCAGGAACGTCGAGCGAGAGAGCGCCTCCCATCAGCAGATGCAGCAACGGGACAGGAACAGAACAGGCGGTCAATAGAACCTGCCTACTCACACTGGAGCACTATGGGGCTCCCAGCATACCCACCCACCAGCCTCAGGACCCCGTGACCCAGGTCTCCAGCACCAGGAGGCTGGGTCACCACAGAGAGCTGGGACACAGGGCCACCTACCATGTGGCTCAAGCTCTGGGACACCTGCAGGTAGAACCTGAAGAGGAAGCTGACCAGCAGGGTCCTCCTGAACTCCACCCGGCCTCCAGGGGCCGAGCCGGGCAGGGTGACCTCGCCCAGCACCAGCCTGCAGGCCTCGTCCAGAGTCTCTTCACTCCAGGACCTGGGGGCAAAGGACAGGACTCAGCCTCTCACAGGTTCTGTTTCTGTGTGTGGGGAGGACCCCAGCCCGGTGCGGGACATGCAGGATCAGCTCAGGGCCAGGCGCCACCATGCACAGGGCTTGGTCTGGTCTCCCCATCCTCCCTCATGGCCCAGGACAGCAGCAACCCTCAGTCACAGGGACGTTTAATCACGCCAGGTGCTACATGGGTCTGCACTGGCTCAGGTCTCTCAGCTGCCGGGGTGCGATCATCCACGTGTGACAGAAAAGGAAACTTGGGTAACAGGAGGTCAGGTGAGCTGACGGAGCTCAACCCTCACCTCAGTTCATTAAAACAAGACACGGAATAGTCACAGAAGCTCACCGGGTCCTGCCACTGACAGGAGGTCTGGGCATTTCAGCCCTTTTCTACTGCGCATCACCTCTGACCATGGATCAGGCCTCTGCTGCCCGAGTCCTGGGACACCGCTGCTCACCTCCCAACGAGCTTCCGGCAGGCCTCCCTGGCACAGAGAGTGGCCGGGCCGACACCACCGTATAGGATGGAGAGCTCTGTGATGATGCCGTCCCCGTCCCTGAAGAAGACCCTCATCCCTGCGTTCACTATGGCTCGCGCATTCTCTTTGCGCTGGGCTTGCCGGAAGGCGGACACGAACTCCCACTGGAAGACAGGAAAGTGGCACACGGGGAGCCAGCGGGAGAGTACGCCCCAACTCCCCGAGTGCCCACCCTGGTGCTACAGTGGAGGCCGCCGCAGGACATGGCTGAGAGCCTATGTGGAAGTGGGGCGCTAGGGGCTGTGGGTGCACGGGAGCAGGGCTGCGAGGCAGTGACAGGGACCTCACCAGCACCAGGCCACCCCGCTGAGCCACCCTCGCACGCGTGCATGTGTGGGGCCTCTCCTGTCCTAGCAACTCCGTCTCTACCACCCAGGCCAGCGTGTGCGGCCGGTGAGCTCGTGTGCCAGTGACACCTGGGTCCTTCCCTTCCCACAGCCCCCGCCCTCACCGGGGACTCGACCGCAAGCATCTACTCCAAGGAGGACCTGGCCTTTTCCATGAAGTTCGAGTACAAATGTAATTTTTTAGCCTCTTTCAAGCCCTAAGACAGAGGTAGAGGTGGATTCCTGGGTGTTTCAATTAGGATAAGCTTCTGGACAAAGAATTTTGGAATCTGTATTAGAAAGGGTTTGGGGTAGGGCAAAGCCAGGGTCCCCTGAAAATGACCCTTGCACCACTTCCTGAGGCCAGGCCTGTCTCCCCTCTGAACCCCAGGCCCTTTTCCTAAGCCAGCCTTATGGGAATAACAGCGTAGGCACACTGGCGGCCAGGACACCCTCACCTTCCGGGAGTAGGGGACAGTCACGGACAGCAAGACCTCCTGAGGCCTGAGATCCATGCCCAGGCTCTTGCCAAGGAAGCGCTCATCCAGCGGGATCTGTCGGGCTCCCTCTGCAGAGAGAACAGTCATCTTCAGAGCTGCACCTCTTCCTCCAAGTGGAAGCGTTGTGAGGAGCAGGTTAGCCCCCCCACCCAGGAGCCACGCCTTACCCTGCGACTGCACACAGAGGGTGCAGCTACCTGCAGCCAGGAGCGGGTTCAGATCTGAGTCCGGATGCCTGCTCAAGATGTGGCCCCCTAAAGACTTTTAAAATAAAAAGTTACTTTCACTGCTGACTGGTAATTACAGAACCGAAACACTAGAATAAGAATTAAGCAAGGCTTTGGAGAACTTTCTGCCTCTTTCAAAGAATAAAATGATTCCTTCAGGACGATCACCCCAAGCATGCATGCCAGTGTACTGCCCCAAACCGTACAGCCATGTTCCTGATCTGGGACCCAGCCAGCATCCTCAGCTGCTTCAGGACCGCACGGAATGTCTGTGTCTTCTCTTCTGGAAGCCGCTGGACCACATCAGCCAGGACATCTTGCACCTGGGCCAGGCTTAGGCCAGCACCCAGGGTCAGCCCTGAAACAGAGGCATTTGCAAATCAAATAGAGCCACGTGCTCGCTGCTGGCCCATGAGACCACAGATACAGCACGTCATCTGTGCCTGGTGGTGGTGACGATGGACGTGGTGGTGAGGGAGGTGGTCAAGATGAAGTGATGGAGGAGGCGATGGATGTGGTGGTGAGGGTGGAGGTGACAGAAGTGGCGATACAGGTGATGGAGGAAGTGACAGAGGTGGACACGCCGAAGGAGGTAATCGAAGCGATGTAGGAAGTGATGGAGGTGACGGGAGGTGATGGAGAAGGTGGTGGGGGGAGGCGGAGGGGGCGATGAGGAGGAGATGATGGACGTGGTGGTGATGGCAGTGGAGGTGAATGAGCTGAGGAAGGCAAGCTCTCCACACAGCCACTCTGTCGAGCCCTGCAGGGAGTACAGTCTTCATGAACTGGAACCAAACTACAAGACACAGGCAGGAATTCAACCCAGAGGCCACACTGGGATCCCGTTTACAGTGCTGCCATCACAGCCGTCAAACCGACTTCCGTCCCGGGGGGAGAGCACTCTGACGGCTTAGTGCCTCAGCTAGTCCTGCTTACACTAGGCTTTGGGAAGTGTGGACTGCATTCCTTGCGTACCTAGCACAGCACCCTGGCTGAGCAGCTGCTGCACCTTTCTGGGTCTCAGAGTTCACGGTCTCAGTGAACTCAGCGAACTCTGCCTGCTCAGGCCGTTTGTAGGCATGTGACCTTAGAGAACTCATCCCACAGCCCCCCAGGAGGCGACCATGAACACTGTTACCGGGGTAGCTGCTTGTCAGAGAGTAGTCAGCCTAATCAGTGCGTCTGAGCTAGAACACAGGAATTTAGGGACCAACCATCGCACGAATGCTTTATAATGCTCAGCTCTTCAATTCCATCAGGAGAGATTATGACTGGATGGAAGACACCTTTAAATTTCATTTCGGGTCCTATAAAATTAAAATTAAAAAGAAGAAGGAGGTTAGGATAAAAAGGAACAATTGCCCTTTTAATTTTGCTATTATGATTCAACTGCTGTCTTTAAATGTATCACACTGTATAATATATGACACAGAGAGGGTGGCTGGATGGATGCTGGGCCATGTCGCTTCCTCGGAATTCTCTTTCGGGAGACTCTGGGGTGTCCTTAAAGAGGGGGCAGTCAAGCTCCTGCCCAGACACAGCAGCAGACCCCAGCTGCAGTGAGAGAGGCAAGGGAGAGAGGACAGTGACCTCCCCTGCTGTTGCCAGGTACCCCGGGCAAGCGAGCATCACTGCACAGCCCTGCAAGTGCACGGGGTTCATGATCAGGGACGGGGTCTCTACAGGGACACGAAGCGGCCCAGCCTGAAGGAGGCCTACGCAAGTCTGTTCCACACCAGACCCCGTCTGCGTACCCACGGAGGTGTTGCCCATGACCAGTGGGGCCTGGGGAAACTTGGACTTGGCTTCCAGAAGGTCTTTCAGGGTCAGCGGGGAGATCCAGGTCATCCTGTCCCCTGTGAACACCTGGGGGCTCCGTGGCTGCTTCGCAGCGAGTATCTATGGAAAGAACAAGAGGCACAGGGTGACTCCTGACGGCATTTCTGCCTGCTTCTGCTCTGTTGCTGCAGGAGCCAGGAAGCAAAGCAGATCTTCTGAAAGAGGGGCCCAGAAGTAGGGCTGCGCAGTCGGGCTCAGGAAAGGCACGGCAGCGCTGGGCTCCACAGAACTCCCTGGGGCTCCTGTACTGCCGCGTGTACCCCACTGACACCCTCGCGCCGTCCGAAAGACTGCAGGGGGGAGCGTGGCCGTGTCCCCATGACCGGGGACCACGTGGCTTTCTGCAGATACCGCTGGCTGCTCTGACAGTAGCTTCCCTGCTCCTCCTCACCTCTCCCCACTCTGCAGCTTATGCAGTGGAGGGAGGTGGGCACTGAGCTCTCTGCCAGGTCTCACAGCCAACCCGGCCCTCTTCCCACAAGCCCGGGGAGGGGAACAGCACCACCTCCTCACCATCAGCTCGGGAGGAAAAATCAGCTCCTGAGTTGGATCCAACGGCAGAAACTCCTCTTCTGGGAAAAGCTTTGGACTCGTCTTAAAAGAGAAGGGCCAGAAGTCAGCACTGTCCCTGCTCCTTGTTCCCAGAGAACAGGGACGCCTGGGACCAGGCACCGAGTCCAGCCCGATGTGGACCATGTTCTCCTGCTGGTTCTTACCAAGTAAGTCCTGGCGAGTTCGACACACAGCCTTCTTTCCTAGTCATGCTGTGAGCTTTCACCTTTCACTTTGAAGGGAAGCTACACAGACACCAAGCACGCCTGAGTGTCCAGCACCACTGCTTGGGGCCTTGGGGACACTGCTAAGTGGTCTAAGGGTGACACCAACACAAACATTGCAACAGCTGATCTGACAGCCAAAGGCCGCAGGGAGGCCGGCAGTGCACAGCATGGACACCTGGATGGGGGACCTGGGGGAGCCGTGCCGCCCCTCAGAACAGGGTGACCACATGTGTCCCGGGTGACCGTGTGCTGTCATCCAGCAACTCTGATTCGGGAACCCCCTGTGGAACTCAGTTGGGAGAAGATGGAAGGGCAGCAGATGGATCCCATCCTGGGCCCTTGGGGGATCCCTAGGCTGGGCCCGTCGCCCCTGCAGACATCAGCAGCCTCAGAGGCACAAGCTCTGTGGGTCACGCGCAAGGCTGTTGCCAAAGTGGCCACCTCTCCTGCCGCCGCCTCCCCCTGCTCCTCCCGACCGCCTGCCTAGAGCCAGCTCTGGAAGTGTGGGGACTCCCAGGGCCCCGACTTCCACCGGGAGCAGCGCAGTGCAGGGGATGAGGGACATTTTTACTTTTGGCTGATGCCTGGCCCAGTGTGGGTCAGAGCGATGTCTCTGCACGGGGACACAGTGAGGAATGCATGGGCGATGGCACAGCTGCCCCTGGATGTCCACACGGGGAGGCCACAAGCTCAGCCAGCCAGAAGCTGGTTAGGCTTCCTGCGGGGAATCACTGCTGCTCAGGGCCCGGGACAGCTTCACGCGACTCTGCATTTCACTGACCTGGCCTCCTTCCTCAGGTTCTGGCAGTCTGTTTACTCCTTGGACCAAACAGCAAACTCCATTTTCTTTACTCTGGCAGCAGCCTGAAGTCTAATGGGTAAAAGAAAATCAGTGGGAACTTAATGCTGATTCTTTAGGTATTAGGTAACCCTGGTGACAAAAGGACATAACCCAGGATCAGTATTGTCAAGTGTCACGAAAGAAATCATCTGTACTTATCACATCCAAACTACCTCTCATCAAAGAAACCACAAAAAACAAAAACAAAAAAACAACTACCCTGCTGGAGGGCCAGGGACATAGCTCAGTGGTACTGCGCCTGCCAGGCAAGCACAAGGTCCTGAGTTTGATTCTCAATATGAAAATAAATAAATAAATAAAACTGAGCTGGTGATGAAATCTGACCAGCAGTTCTGTTACATAAGTTGAACTATGTAAAGATCCAATAAGGCTGGCACATGCCAACGAATATTAACCATGAAGGAACAACGGTCGTTAGTAATCTGGCAAGCTAAACCTGTTAGCAAGCACAGGCATCAGTATGTGGACCTCGTGCTCTGTGTCATTTTCCTAGTGTGACCCGGGCAGCTGGGCCCTGCATCCAGGTCGATCCTTCATTCAGTAAACTGACGCAGCGTGGCTCAGTCAGCTCCCTGCCCTGCAGCGGCCCAGCTCCTGTCAGGCAGCCACGGTCTGCCAACTGCCCTTCTGAGCCCAGAGCGGCGCCAGGGGCAGCTGAGCACCACCTAGGCAGGAGCCCTGGTAGAGGCTGGCAGTGGAGCCATGGTCTGGAGCAGCCCTGCCCTCTCAGCGTGGCAACCTCACTGTGTTGTGGGAGAGGCGGCCTCGGCGCTGCCCGGCACTGACCTTGCAGAAAGTCCTGCCCGCGTCCAGGATGGGTCTGTACCCCGTGCAGCGGCACAGGTTGCCTGTGGGAGAAACCGGCCATCAGTCGGGCTGCGTGACAGGAGCATTCCATGGACACTCGGTGCCCCTCACAGTGGGCGGGTTCTACACTGCACGTTTCCTGTCTCCTGGGTGCTTTTACAGCTCTGCCATCTGCACTTTGTACGCTTCTAAAAATTTTTATGTCTGTGTGTGGCAGGTGCTCAAATGACACAATGATGTTAAGGCAGAATCTCGCTCTCCAGTCACCTTTAGGAGCGAAGTGTAATTAAAACCTAACTTTACCTGAGCGTTGTGTCAGACACACAGCCGTGCATGTCTCTGGTGCGCACCTGCTGTCCACATGTGCCCACGCCTGTCACCTGCCACTCAGTCACACCCTCTCAGTGGAGGAGACCTCGTGGCCAGGCCTCGGGGCCAGAGGGACCTAGCAGCCAGAGCAGCACAGGTCCCGCTCAACCCCAGGCCACTTCCCTCGCCATTGCTCTCCCTCCCAGCCTCAGGCCTTATTTAAAAACAAAGGCACTGAGCTGAATTTCCTGGATCTGGGTGCCCAAAACCTTCAGTACTCATAAATTCCCAGGTGTGTCTTGGTACCCCGAAGTTTGAGACCCTAAAGGGAGCTGTGTCTCTTCCCACCTCTCCAGACCTCAGTGCAGGGGACTGGGCAGCGTACCAATCTCCAAGTCACCTGCCGAGAGGGGCAGGGGAGGGGAGGGGACCAGAGAGCCAGGGAGTCTCCCCAGGCACATGCTTGGGAGTCTGGGGCTTTAAGAAACCATCTAGGACCTCGATGAAGACCACACACGCATGCACACACACACGTATATGTATGAGTACTCATGCACAAACAGATGCGTGCACACCATGCACACTCACACAAACACACACATGAACACTAACACAAGGAACACATGCATGTTTACACATGCATTCTCACACACATGTGACATACACATCAATGCATGGGCAGGTGCAAACACACATGCACACCCATGCACATATATGCATGCACATCTGTGCATGTGTGCACACATCCCCACATACCTGCAAGCACAGTGCACACACAATCATGCAGACTTCCATGTAGGGACACCACTCATGCACCCATACATGCACATACCCATACTCTTATGCATGCACACACACACACACACACACACACACACACACAGAGGCAGGTACACACAGAGTTCTCGAGCCCAGTAACACAGCCCCACAGAGAGAACCTGAAGCCACTCCCCAGTGTCACCAGGGGCTGGGTCTCTGGTGAAGACTACACGTCTCGAGCCCTCACACACTGGCCCTGTCCTAAGACCCCCAACCCAGAGATCAGTGGGACAATAGCCCTCTTTCCAGGGACAAATGGAGAGCTTGGGTTTTGATGATTATGACAGCAAACAATTACAAAGGAAGGCCTCTAACAGAGTAAAAGAAACAAGACATCTGCCCAACAAAATATGTACATCTGGTTTGGAGCGTGGTTTCAGCAAATAAAATAGCTTGTCCACATGCAGCTGGCAAAGTGACTAGTGACATTTCTGAGCCTCAGGCTCTCGGTGTACGACCCAGGCTGACACCTTGCATCTGTTACTGTGACGGGCTCAGTGTGTGGCATGAGGCGTGCCAGTGCAGCCTCGTCATCCTCCTCCTCATTCAGGCTCCACCCACCCGCCAGGGCCTCCAGGAGCTGCTCCTCCGTGGGCTGCGGGTGGTTGCGCAGCAGCGTGTACAGCGACATCACCATCCCGGGGGTGCAGAAGCCGCACTGCGTGCCGTGGCTCTTGGCAATCCTCTCCTGCAACAGAGTCAGATGCACAGGAGCTGGGTCAGGTCCATGACCTATCAGAACCTGCACTTCCTCAGGTGGCTCCAATGGACACTGTGTTAGCTGGAGAGGCCCAAAAGCCCTTTCCACCCCCGGTCCTGAGTCTTTGCTGTGGAGCCTAAAGCCCCAGCCTGGATGGCCCAGATCCTGCTTCATCTCTCTGTGGGATGCAGGGCATCTTCTAAAGACCCCTGGAGGCTGTGAGAACCTGAGACAAAGGACGCTCTTCAGAGAAACACCAGATTACACTCAAGGAGAGCACAGCAAGCAGAATCCTGAGTGCCTTTTATCTGCTTGTTTTTCTCAGCTGCCTCATCCCCCATGCTTACTTCTTCCCAAGGCAGGAGAGGCCAGACCCACAGGCCTTTCTGATCACGGTGGAGAGCAGGTGAACCTTGTCACGTCCATGTTGTCTCAGGAAAGGAAAAGTTCTCCAGCCTCAGAACATCTCTGAGGGAAGGTGGTCCACACCATGCCTGTCTGGCTCTCTCTGGGCTCCCTGGGCTTTGCCTGTGCTCATGTACCCAGGCAGCCAGGCCCTGACCCTGCGCTCTCTCTGCCCAGGGACCCATGTATCATCCAGGTCACAGCCTCACCTGCACAGGGTGGAGCTGAGTCCTCGTGCTTCCCACACCTTCCACTGTGGTGACAGCTGCGCCGTGCAGTGAGCAGAGGGGTGTCAGGCATGCGTTGGCTGGGTAGTGTCTGCAGGGAGAGACACAGGTATGGCAGGGCAGGCACCATACCCCTGCATTGCACACCAGCCCCTCCCTAGCTCACACCAGATACAGGGGAGAGGCTGAGGTCCGAGCAATTTACAGGGGGCACAACTGGTGCTGTTATTTGGATGCAAATGTCCTCCGGAGAGGGCCTGTAGCCATCTTGGAGAGGGGCCAAGTGATCTTGGAACTCAGAGCAGCTTCGGGCCGGCTCAGTCTAGCAGCTCCCAGGGTCAAGATGAGGCTCAGCCAAGTTCAACATGTCAGGAAGTTAAGTTCAAGCTGGCAGGAGGCACATGGGGTATTACAAGATGCAATCTTGACTTCCAGCTTAGTAAAGGCAAATCCAGGGGAAAATGAGGTGGAACAATTCTACAGTCACCCATCTGGACTCTCTGAAGTGGTAAGAGTGGAAGTAACAAAGCAGATGAATGAGGCTATAGAAAAACAACAACAAATAATTTATCAGATAACTACTGAGATGGTGACCATAATGAAAGATTTGGTTAGTGACTCTAGAGCAGATACAGATTAAAAAAAAAAAAAAAAAAAAAAAAAAAAGAGGACCTTAGGAAAATGATGAAAACCATGAACAATCAACTTAGGATACACATGGAATCCATGAAACAGAATCAGATACCTGAGAGATTAAAACTTCCACTGAAAGTACATGAAGTAGAATGAGCCAATGTGAAGACAGAATATCTGATATAGAAGACAGGATCGCAGTTAGTGATCATGAAAAGAAAGATTTACTTAAAATAGCAATGGACCACAAAAAAATCATTCCCACAAGTGCAAAGAAGAATAAGATACAATTCATTGGAGTCTATGAAAAAGCAGAAGTTAGCATAAATGACATTAAAAAAAACTGTTCACAGAAGTAATTGCAGAAAACATCCCGAGCAAGGGAAAAAGAATTTGACATACAGATAAGTGAGGCACATAAAAATCCAAATACACATGATTAAAAAAAACTACACCAAGGCATATAATAGTCAAGATTCCAGAAATTCAATACAAAAAGAGAATATTAAAAGCTGTTAGAGAAAAGAAACAAATCACCTATAAAGGAAAGGCCATCACAAACAGCAGACTTCTCAACACAAACTCTTAAGTCAAGGGGAGACTGGGATTAAGTATTTCAAGCCCTAAGAGACAACAACCTCCAATCTAGATGATGCGCCCTGCAAAATTGTCTTTGAAAACTGATGGAGAAATATGATACTTCCGTGATAAAGAACACCTGAAGAAATCCATGACCACCAAACCAGCACTCCAAAGTGTTTTGAAGGACATTATAGAAAGAGATAACAAGGAATACAACTCCATGAACCGCAACAGATTGAATCTATCAGGCAAGCAATAAGAAGGGGGAAAAAAGGGAACCAACAACAGGAAAATAACATGACAAGGATAAGTCAATACATGTCGCTTATGACCATCAATGTTAATGGTCTGAATTCACCAATCAAAAGAAACAAACTGGCAGAGTGTATCAGGAAGCAAGAGCCAACAATATTCTGCATACAAGAAACACACTTAATTAAGAAAGAAATTCATTGACTGAAGTCAAAGGATGGAAAACAATACTCCATGTGACAGGAACACAGAAGAAAGCACGGATAGCTATTCTATTTGCAGACAAAGTAGATTTCAAGCCAAGACTGACTAAGAGAGACAAAGAAGGTCACTATATCCTTGTAAAGGGAACAATCTAAGAGGAAGAGATAACAATCATAAATATAGATGTACTAAATACCAGCACACCCAACTATATAAAACAAATATGAATGGACATTAAAAATTAAATAAGCACTAATACAGTTTTAATTGGAGTCTTCAATACTGTACTGATACAAATAGATCAACTAGACAAAAAATCAACAAGAAATATCAGAACTGAACCAAACTTTTGAACAAATTGACTTAGTAGATGTCTACAGAGTATTCCATCCCATAATGTTAGAATATACATTTTTCTCAGCTACATATGGACATTCTTCAAAATATACCACATACTAGCCCACAGAACATGCTTAAGTATTGCAAAGGAATTGAAATTATCCCATACATATTATCACACCATAGCACAATAAAATTAGAAATCAATATGAAAAGAAACCACAAGAACTTCATAATCACATGGAAATTAAATAACACCAATAGGTCACAGTTGAAATTAAAGGAGAAATTAGACAGTTTCTACAATTAAATGATAAGGCAAATATAGCAAACTGGAACTTATGGGACACAGTGAAAGCAGTCCTCTAAGGAAAATTTATAGTGGTGCATTCCCATATCAGAAAAACAAAGTGAATTCAAATAAACAACCTAATGTTGAACCTCAGGCTTCTAGAAAAAGAAGAGCAAGTCAAGCCCAAAGCTGATATGAGGGAGGAAATTATAAAGATTAGAGCATAAATTAATGTAATAGAGACCAAGGAAACAATGCAAAGAATAAATTAATTGAAGTATTGGTTCTTTGAAACATTAAATAAAATTGAATGACTTTTAGCCAACCTTATAAAAAAAGTGATTTAAGCCATGCAATTCGGAATGAAAAGGGTAAAATCATAACAGATCCTGCAGAAATCCAGAAGATCATCAGTACTTACTTTGAGAAACTGTATTCTGATAAGATGGAAAACACAGAAGAAATGGACAGATTCCTAGATACATATAAATTACCAAAGCTGAATCAAAACATAAAAAATTCTAAATAAACCAATATCAATCAATGAAATTGAAGATGCAAGTAAAAACCTACCTAAAAAGAAAAGCCCAATCTCAGATGGATTCACTGCTGAATTCTACAAGAAATTTAGAGAAGACTATTGCTGCTACTTCTCAAACTCTTTAATGAAATTGAAAGGGAAGCAATACTGCCTAATCCATTTCTGAGCAAGCACTACCCTGATACCAAAACAGAGAAGGATCCAACCAAAACAAAGAGAACTACAGGCCAATCTCATAAATGAACATAGATGCAAAAATCCTCGATAAGATACTGGCAAGTAGAATGTAGCAAGTCATCAAAAAAGATTATACATCATGACCAAGTAGGATTCATCCCAGGGATGCAGGAATGGTTCAACATATGCAAACTAATAAATGTAATGAACCATATTAACAGAGCCAAGGACAAAAATTGCATGATCATCTCAATAGATGCAGAAAAGGTATTTGACAAAGCCCAAAACACATTTATGATAAAATCCATACAGAAAATTGGTATAGATGGTCTTTATGTCAATCTGATAAAAGTCATGTATGATAGACCAACAGCCAACATCATCATAGTAAACGGACAAAAACTGAAAGCTTTCACTCTAAAATCAGGAACAAGACAAGGATATCCACTGTCACCAATCTTGTTCAATATAGTTCTGGAAACACTAGCCAGAATGATTAGACAAGAGAAAGAAATAAAGGAATAAGGATAGGAAATGAAGTTAAATTATCATTATTTACAGATGACATGATACTCTATATAGAAGACCCCCAAAACTCCACCAAAAGACTTCTAGATTTAATAACTGGATTCAATAGCATAGCTAGACACAAAATCAACACTCAAAAATCAATAGCTTTCCTGTACATAAATAACAACTCACTGAGATTTACAATAGCATAAAAAAAGAAATGCTTAGTAATCACTCTAATGAAGGAAGTAAAAGAACTTTACATTAAAAACTACAATACTCTGAAAAAGGAGACTGAAGAGGCTATCAGGAAATGGAAAGGCATCCCTTGTTCTTGGGTAGAAAGAACCAATATAATGAAAATGGCCATACTTTCAAAATTGTTATACAGATTTAATGCAATCCTGATCAAAATACCAGAATTAGAGAAAACAATCCTAAAGTTCATTTGGAACCAGAAGATACTTACAATAGCAAAAGAAATTCTGGGTAACAAAGGCAAAGCAGGGGGGCATCACAAACTCTGACTTTAAATTATATACAAAGCTACTGTGATAAAAACAGCATGGTACTGGCAAACAAACAAATAAACCCGAGGGTCAGTGGAACAGATTAGAAGATGCAGAAACAACTCCAAACAAACTCAGCCACCTTATCTTTGACAAATGAGTAAAACACCTTCACTGGAAGAAAGATGGCCTCTGTAATAAGTGGTGCTGGGAAAACTAGCTTTTCACATGCCAAAGATTAAAACAGGACCCATATCTTTCACTGTGCACTAAACTAAAACAGAAATGGATCAAAGATCTAAATATGAAAATGGAAACACTAAATCTCCTGGAAGACAGAACAGCTAGAATTCTTGAAGACAATGGTGCAGGCAAAGACTATGAATAAAGCCCAGATCACATAGGAACTATCACAAAGAATCAACAATTGAGATTTCATTTTATTAAAAAAAAACTTTTGCACAGCAAGAAAAACCACCAACAGAGTGGGAAAAATTTTTTACCAGCTGTTCCTTAGAAAAAGGACTACTATCTAGCATATATAAAGAACTCAAAAAAACCAGACCACCCCCAAATTTAAAGACCCAGTCCAAAAATGGGCACCTGAAATGAACAGACACTTGACAGATAAAGAAGTAGAAATGGCAAATAAATATATGAAAAAATGTTCAACATCACTGGTCATTCATAAAATGCAAATTAAAACAATGCTGGGGATTTAGCTCAGTGGTTCCTCCACCTGCCTCACAAGTGCAAGGTCCTGAGTTTGATCCCCAGGTGAGGGGGGGGAGCTGAGATTCCATGTCACTCCAGAAAGAATGGCTATCATCAAGAATCAACCAATAACAAATGCTTGTGGGGCTATGGGGAAAAAGGAACTCTTCACTAGTGGTGGGAGTGTAGACTGGTGCAACTGCTGTAGAATTCAGCTTGGAGAGTCCTCAAAAAACTAGAAGTAGAGGATCCATTTGTTTTTGTGGTATTGGGGATCAAACATAAGACCTTGTATTTGCAAGGCAGGCACAGTGTCAGTGAGGTAAATCCCTGGCCTGGAGGTTCCATTTGACCCAGCTATTCCCTTTTTTGGTGTCTTCCCAAAAGAATTAAAAGTGTCTCACCATAGTGATATATGCACACTCATGTTTATAGCAGCATGGTTTATAATAGCTAAATCTTGGAAACAGCCCAAATGCCTATCAACTAATGAATGGATAAAGAAGATGATTTTTGTTTTACATAACAGAGTACTACTCAGCCATAAAGAATGATAAGCTTGAGATATTTTAGCTAAATGGATGCACCTTGAGATCATACTCTTAAGTGAAATAAATTGGACACACATGTTTACCGCATTGTTTCTCTGGTATGAGAAACTGAAAATGGAAATAAGGACTAAAATGCATAATAGATATTGGTAAGTGGGAAGAAAATGTTCAAAGGGGAAGGGGAAAGGGAGGAAGGAAGGGACAAGGAAAAAATGGGGAAAATGAAAACAAAGCTTTTGTAAATAAGGAGAGAAAAAGAGGTTGAAGGGAGGAATGGGAAAAAAAGAGGAATTGAGGTACATCATGGCCAGGCACAAATTCCCCACGCGAGCCTTATCATTACGTAATCTAAAATGTACCAATGAAAAATCTTGTTGAAAGAAAAAGAAAAGGGTGTAAGTTAAGCTCCACCGGGCTCTTCCGGGAGACACTGCTCTGGGGACGCGGCAGCTGCAAGGTGTGCACATTCACACACGCCCCGTGCATGGCCGCGGCGGGCCCGTCACTACTGCAGAAGGCTCCCGGAACACGCACTGGCTGGAGTAAATCATGCGCAGCCCCTGAGTTCGGGTTCGTTACTTGAAAGGATACTCGTTAAGAATTAAGCACAGAGGGGCAGGTTTTTCAAGGCCCTGCAGGATGCGTCTGAGCAGCAGCTGCAGAGGCGGAGCAGGAGGCCCCTCCCGCCCGGCGGGGTTTGTCGCTCACTGCCCAGGGTCCCCTGGAACCCTGGCCCTGCGGAGCGCAGGTGCAGAAGCTGCGTGTGAGCGGCCTGGTGCGGGGGAGCA